GTATTGTTGATTTGTCTTTATTTTATTCTAGAATATTAAATGGCACTGCTTGCTTGTTTCTTTACTTATTGATTTATCTTGCATCTTTCTCCCAGAAGTGAGATTTGAGACAATTTACAAGATTAAAAAACAGGCTGAAATTAAAATGATGTTTTAATAGCATTTTCTGCTGCTTTATATGTTTAGTCTTTATTGTAGAATGATTAGCATATTTTAATGTAAAAATAACCGAGACGTGGATTAGTGGGGAGGGTGCCCCTCCCCTGGCTCTCATCTGCCCGCCCGGTTATGCTGTCCAGCACCAGGGTAGACTGGAGGGGCGGGGAGGGGGAGAGCCATTGTTTACAAATCCATTTTAGAGGTTACTAGGCGCTCCTCGGTGGTAAAGCCTGGCCTAGAGGCACTCCACGTGTCGATTGGGGCCAGGGATGGTATTGGGATTTTGCTGGGTTACCGCGCTCCCCGTGACCCAGCCATTTCCCTACCGGAGCTGGCCGACTTTGACTCCGCGGCATTGTTAGGGTCCCCGAGGCTTTTGGTCTTGGGTGACTTCAACGTGCATGCGGGGGCAGAGACCACTGGGCCAGCTCTTGAGTTCTTGGAAACCATGGCTTCCTTGAACATGTCCCAACATGTTATCGGCCCCACCCACGTGAGTAGCCATACGTTTAGACCTGGTCTTTACCACTACATGGAACGAGCGTGATCTGATGGTGACTGACCTCGTGTCGGTCCCCTTGTCATGGTCAGAGCACCACCTAATAAAATGTAACCTCTCAGTGGCACTTCCCCCTCGCAGGGAGCAGGGACCTATTTCTATGGTCTGCCCTCGAAGGCTACTGGATTCGGCCGGATTCCAGGATGCCATTAGAGGTGTTACAGCTGACCTGGCCAGCGCCCCTGTCGAGGCTCTGGTTGACAGCTGGTCCACTGCTGCCACCAGGGCCGTAGACATGATCGCGCCTAAGCGCCCTCTCCGCCGCCAAACTCGCCCGGCACCCTGGTTCAACCAGGAGCTTCGAGCAATGAAGCGATATAGGAGAAGGCTAGAGCGTAGGTGGAGGAAGAACCCGACGGATTTTAATTGGATAGCTATCAGGGTCGCAACTAACCTTTACCTGACTAAGGTAAAGGCTGCATGTCGATCATTCTTCGCTAACCGGATAAGCGAAGCATCAAATCAGCAGGCGGAGCTGTTCCGTATAGTG